TTATAATTTAGTATTCTTTATGTAGTTGTATCCATTACCATATTCATATACTCGTATATATATATGTATATATGAGGATGTGTGTATTTGTAGTAATGCATGCATTAGGGTGGAGCCAAAAACAATTTTTTTCTGCTTAACCTGAGGGTAAAATCTGTAGATAATAAAAAAATAAAGCTTTTGGACAAAAAAAAAATTTTTTTAACATCTCAGTTTTAAAGTAAATTTTCGAGTTAAAATTTTTATTTCGTAAAAAATTTTTGATAAGTGTTCTAGAAGCTGTGAAGAGGCCTCCTTTTAGGCAATTAAAAGTTATCAACTTAAAAAAAAAGTTTGTGGTCATTATTGGAGTTTAAAAAAAAATTCTTAAACGACAACATGCTTTAATATAAAGAGTTTTAACCAAAAAAAATTGTTTCTTGTCCAAAAATAATTTTAACTCGAAAATTACTTTAAAACTGAGTGCGCCGCTTTTAGATGTTAAAAAAATTTTTTTTTGTCCATATTTTTTTTTTTATCAACGGATTTTACCCTCAGGCTTAGCAAAAAAAAAAATTGTTTTGCTCCACCCTAGTATGCATTTATGTATTTTCTAACATCCACATATAATTCTACAATTTTATACTAGTATTTAATGTCATATAACCCTTCTTCTTTAATTTCACGCACACACAACTACATACACCGATTAATTTACATAATTTTTATCTAATTTATATGCTAGGTTGCATTTCAAGCGCATCTAATTAATATTATCGGCCATTAATTGCATAATTTATAAGCATTTACAAAGCTGATGATGCAACAGATTTAATGTTGTTGCAACACATACACATGCATATACACCTACATATATAAAACAAATGGCCACAGCGCTGCAATTAATATTAATAACAAATGATAGCAGCGCAACGAATGGTCAACAAAAAATTAAAAATAGCAACAACAAAAAATTAAAAATAAAAAAATTACAACAACAAGCAAAACCTTTTACTGCGATTGCGCCCAAGCTATAATACCCTTAACAAAAAAAAAATTTTAGATAATAATTTATACAAAATTTTTTCAAAATATCTCAACAAATGAAAAAGGTTACCATACAAGCACTTATTCCGATCCTTCAGTTTGTATAGCAGCTTTAAGCTATAGTGGTACGATATCGGCAGTTTCGAATAATGAGCAGCTTCTTGAGCAGAAAATGACATGTGCAAAATTTCAGACTCTTAGCTAAAAAACTAAGGGACTAATTCGCGTATACACAGACAGACGGACCTAGCTAAATCGACTCAGCTCGTCACGCTGATCATTTATAGGTATATTTGAGAGAATTAAGGTATAAAAAAATAATGCAGAAAATCCATTCAATATACATAAAAACAGTTAAAGTTGTGCGTGTGGCTAATAACAATGGTTTTTTGCTTAGCTTATGTTGTTGTAAATAATAAATGTGTAAGCAAAGATTTGTGGCGCATATTTTAAATTTTAATGCGCTACGCTTAATTACACATTTCATGCTTGTTTTTGTTTTGTTTTTATTTTCGCCAAAATCCCATTTACATTTGTGATTATCGCTAGCATACTGACAGGCGCATTGCCTAGCTTATTTATAGTTAACAATTAATATGAACTACAAACAATTTAATAGTTTTATAAGCACATATACACATATATAAACACCCTTTTTGCATTTGTAGTTGCCACCCAGTCTTTTTTGCGCGATAAATTAATGTGACACTATTATTTTTTAGTATTTTTTTCTCGCGCAGCACTCACCTTTGCTTGACACTCTCATTATTAGCTGAGTTGCGTTAATTAAAAGGCGGATGTTGGCAACAACTTTTGAAATTTTTTTCTAGTGTACTCTTATATGTGTATGTATGTGTGTGTCGGCGTTTGCTTGTTGACACTGCATAAATAAGCGTTTAATTAAATTTTAAAATTTTCAGCTTACGCTTAGCTTCTCAACAAAAAAAAATATATATATTGCAGAATGCGCTTTTTGCTTTTGCTGGCAAATTTACTCGCTTGTTGTTGCCACACGCCATATGCTCTTTATCTGTAGTGTCAAACGCACTTGCCACCAATTTTGAATGTATTTACCCACTCGTTTGCATAGCTACTCAATTAATTTAAATAAAATAGGCTATTTGCTATTGGCCTTATTTAAGGATATTAATATTTTGTGACAAACAAGCTGTTTATACAGTTTAGTGTTTGTTGTAATACAAGTTTTTTTTTTTTATCTGTCGACCAAACGTGTTCAAGGTAAATAATGCATAATAATTTTAGCTGAAACACAATTTTATATAAACGGAATATAAAAATTTAGAGTGGTGTTATATGTGAAAAAATATTATTTTTAAATTAAAAAGGGTTGCCAATTGCACTGAATTTAAAAAAAATTCAAAAGGTTCAGAACTTATTCCTAGCTACCCTATTCTATATCTTATTTATTACCTATCTAATCATAAAAATATATTTTAGCAAATTTTGCAAAGTACATGCTATGATAAAGAGTTGCCGCCTAACTAGTATTTTTCTTTCACGTAAAAGTAAAATTTAACAAAATAGTATGCACTATAAAATTGTAAATACTCCAAATTACATATATTATAGACTTGATTTAGTCGAGATAAAATGAAGTTGCCACCTGTTTAACAAAAATTTTATTTTTAAAAAGAAATGCGGAGAACAATTCTGTCGTTTAGGAAAACTCGAAAAAAAATATTATCACGTTCATAAGGATTGCTACCAGTAATGAAAAAAAAACACGAAACGTTAGTTAAGAACTTTTTCCAATCCAAATACTACGCACACAAATATATTTCAGCAACATTTTTTACAAAATTTTATGATAAGCAATTGGCACCAAACCACTTAACTCTTGCCACCTTTGTTCACAATCTAACTAAGCACAGAAATATATTTTAACAAACTTTATTACAAAGTATTACGAAAAGAAGTTGCCACCTAATTTGCTTTGTCATTTCTTTAGTTTAAAAGTAAAAGTTTACAATAAAGTATGCATTTTAAAAATCTAAAAGCTCTAAATGGTTTTAAACCAAGTATATATTCAAATGAAGCTGCCACCTTTATAACGAAGGTTTTATTCTTTAATAACAAAAGTGGAGAACAATCCGGTCGTCTGAAAAAAATTAAGAATAAAATATTATTAAATATACATAATTTTATAATATTAAAAAATTAACATTTCCCAAAGGTTAAGAATTTGTTTAAGGCCAACTATATAATATTTTACTAATTTTTATTACACAGCATTAGGGTGAGAAGTTGCCAGCTAACTTAATTTTTGTCTGTAGTTTGAAAGTAGATATTTAGAATGTAGTATATAACATATTATAAAAATAAATATTAAGACTCTTACAGGTTTAAATCAAGTATATATTACATGAAAGCTGCCACCTTTTTAATTAAGTTTTTATAACAAAAGTGGAGAACTATCCTAACATGTAAGAAAAATGGAAAAAATACTATCATTACATTGAATAAGGTTGCCACCTATATTAAATTTAAAAACATCTAAGCGTTAAGAACTTATGCTAATCTAACTAAGCTAACTAACAGAAATATATTTAAGCAATTTTTATAAACAAGAATTATGATAAGAAGTTGCCACCTAACTTAATTTTTTTTTGGTTTGAAAGAACAAAGTGTTTAGAATAAAGAATTCACTATAATAGTGCAAATGCTTTGAAATTATTTAAAGCAGGTACACATTGAAACGGAGTTGCCACATTTTTAAATAATTTTTTTAATAGTAAGGGTTTAGAGAATTATTATCGTCATTAAAAAAATTTAATTATATAAAAATTGTAAAAATTTACCCCCATATAGTTGCCACGTGAATTAAAGTAAACAAAATTAGCAAATACATGAAACTTTTTCACATATCGTTACTAAAAGATGTTAACCCGCTAAGTTTTTTTGAATGTTCCTCTCTGTAAAATACCTATTTTTTATTTCAATGTTTTTAAATTGATTTAAGATTAGTTTTAGGTGGCAACCCTTGTAAGAAATATTTACAACTGAGATTCTAAACAAATCTAGTTTGATATTCGCGCACAGTAAATTAGGAAGGTATTGTCGTGGGTCTCAGTTCGTACCGAGTTGAAATTTGAGAAAAAACAATATTTTAAACGTCGAGTCATCTTGTTGTTAGTTGAGCTTAAATCCAAGCTATAGGTTAGAATATAAGTCGAAGCTGAACCGCAAAAATCGAGTTTGAATATTGTTTGAAAATTACTTTTTTATTGCTCAAAGCATGAAGTCTGATTGAAGATTTTTTATATTTGTATATATATATATACTTTTCGCTATAAACTCGAGTTTAAGGTTTTTGTAAGTGGTCAGTTATCAAGGTGTCATATTGATTTACAAATTTGGAGACAAGTCTGAAATTGCGGTTTGTTGGTAAAGTTGGAGTTTGACTTTGTGTTTGATTTTCATTTAAACTTGAAGTTCGAGTTAGAGTTAGAGATACAGACAAGGCAATGAGATGGAAGACATAAAGTTAGAATTAGAATTTTAATTAGAGTTAGTCTTAGAGTTAGAGTTAGAGTTAGTGTTTTGGATCTAAAGGATAATGAAATGAAAGATATAGAGTTTAAGTTAGTGTTAGAGTTAGAGTTATAGTTAGAGTTAGAGTTATAGTTAGAGTTAGAGTTAGAGTTAGAGTTGAAGTTAAAGTTAGAGTTAGAGTTAGAGTTAGAGTTAGAAA